CACCCTTAAAGTTTCACACAGGGAATTCATTCATCTACTAAAAACCTTAAAAATTTCTATTTAGCAGTAGAATATGGGTATAGGGATTGCTATGGGTGTTTACAAACCACTTTTAACTGGTTTTCAATTTTTCTTTGTTTTCAATGGCGTTACATTATTTTGATGACTGCAGTCTCTCTGAGGAAGTCGAGGTAACAGGGGGATAACTGCTGAAAATACAAACATATTAGAAGGAACACTTCAGGGATCACTTATTTTTAAAGATTTTAGCTTTTATAAGACTGATTTTGCTACAACCAAGATTTCATTTTTCTTTCCCTTGTAGATCAATACTACATATTCCGCCCAAGACAGAGGTGTTATCCCCTGAAAATCCAGAAATGGGAGATACTATTTCTCTGTTGAAGTATTACTGATCTATTTTAAATTAAATTATCTATCCTCTTGATAGAGTGTTTCACCTGTTTTCCTTTCCTCACATTACCAACAGCAGCAAGCCAGACCCAAAAGACCTTCACTTGTAAGACTACACTGACAACTAAGCAAACAGTAGTTGGCTTTAATGGCCCAAATGCCGGGGAATCTAAACTCAGAAAACCTCAGCCAGAGAAGTCACTTGACTGTTGGACAGATGCAGATACCCATTTACCCTCACACTAACTAATTGTGAATGCCCTTACAAAGAGCACTACTGCTTTCATGCTCATAACCTGGCAGCTGAGGACTGAAGAGATGCAGACATAGCAGCAGCCTGAACACAAAGAACAGCAGCATCCATCTTGAGAAATATTCCTGGCATTGTCAGTAAAGAAATTGTTTCCAGCTCTTCTAGCGTCTCAATTCACCCTGTTACTGTGTTCTACTTGCTCACCTACAAAATTATTTCAGGAGGTGAAAGATCACATTAAAGGGTTCATCATTACAGGCCAAGGACACAGTAGCTCAGGCACTGTGGGTGTTCCTGGGTGGGGGCTTAAATCCAGATTCCTCAATCAAGACTTGTAGCAAATGAAACTCATTTGATAATAATCGGGAAGATAGAGATCAATATATAAGCAAAACATGTTTGTCTCATGCAGTGTAGAAAACACATGCTAAGGAGATGACACACCTCTAGCAGTCTGTGGTACCACTGGGAATTGAGCTCAGAGCTTCTGGAGAAGTTTGCAGTCCAAGACAAAGAGATTGTGAAGAGGCTACTCTCACTTGCACCACATTATTTATAAACCCATGTCCTGACCACCTCAGAGAACTCAGAACAGACCTAGCCCACCTCCACAACGTAGCAGGACAGACCCGGCACAGGCACATCAGACATTACACCCAAGACAAACACAGGCTCTAGGTCTGAAGGGAGGAAAAGCAGGATCAAAACTTCCAGCTTAGGTAAAGAGGAAGTGAGCACCTCTTTGAACTGCCTGGCAGCAAAGCCCTTCTCCTCTGCTCTCACTCACCCTTTTGCAGCACCTCCTAACATTCAGACAAGAGGCACACAACGAACCTGACAGTGTGATGCTGCACAAAACATATGGTGGAAGGGAGGGAAAACAGAATCACAACACCAAACTCCTTCTACCATCACCAGTGGTGCCTTTTCCCTTGCTGCAGCATCAGGGCTGACTATGAACTAACTCAGATTCTCCATGAATATGGCTCTGCCTGACTGAAGAAAGCAATGTGCAGACACTGGGAACTGCCCCTTCTGGGAGGTAAATGAAGAGGGAATAGCAGTTCCTCAAAACCTGGTTATGTTGACACAGATCTGAGATTAAGCTCACTCAGCTTGGAAGCAGCCACCAACAACACTCATGTTCAAACTTCTCTAGAGGGCCTTCCTATGCTGTTCAAGAAGAATCAGCTCCAGACACACCCTGCAAGAGGTTACAGGGAAGCATTCAGGTCAGTGACCAACACTGCTTGGGAAAGGCACAACGCGTGGTCTCTTCCATACTGAAATGCTAAATCAATCTGATGTCGAACCTAACATCACCTCTGACCTGAGTTTTACAAAGGATTGCCAAATTCTCTAATGGAAGACAACAATTTCCAAATGCTCATCAGATAGGCTTTCCACTTGCAAGAGTTTCCTGCAATAAAATGTTATTGCCATCCATCAGGAACACAGGCCTGGAATGGCCAGTGTCTGGACAACAGGACACTCAGCCCTTATACTTCTCCTCCGAAGACTGTTAGGTACCCAGACAATATCCTTGCAGCACTGTAAAGGTCCCTTGCACATCTGCTTCAGGATGGGATTAACAAAACAAAACCACTGAGCACAGAGAAACTGCTTCATGGCATATAACACTTTAAGCCAAACTCAGTGAACAACAGGTGTTGCATGAAAAACCTAAAATAACAAGGTGTCTGAACAAACAGAATTTTTAGTGCTTGCCCAAATCAGTGCCTCCTGTTCTTAAAGCCAAGACCAAGGCCTGTTGCCCCACACAACAGCCACCAGCACTAGGAGAGGCACTTCAAGGCTGGGATGCCAAGCTGCCAGAACAGCCATGCGCACAATGAAAGGAAGGAGGGGAAATGCTCTTACCATGCCTGGGAGTGCAGGATGAGCTAAACACAAGTATCTTAGACCTCATTTAGACTTCTGTGTCCAGGTTTGGGCCCCAAGAAAGATATTAGTATGATCAACATCTGCTGAACAAGTTCAGCAGAAGACCACCAAGGTCATTCAAACTTCTCAATGGAGTGACTGCTGTAGTGGATAGACATTCCCGGCAGGGACCTAGGACAACCCACAGCACTGCCCTGCGCAGCACTGCCTCCCCAGAACCCAGGCCGACAGCCCCTCTTCCACCGCAACCTCCTACCTCCCTCTACCTTAGGGGAGAAAGCCCCCTCTCTCCAGCCACCCCTCTTCGCAAACACCCCAACCCCACAGTGACCACCACACCTCCATTTAAGCCTTCCTCCTCACCCACAGACACCTCCCCCAGCCACAGCGCTAACTGTGCTCCCGCTCAGCACCTGCGCCCGGGCGAGCGGTGTTTGTCCACCGGTACCCAGGCGGGCGTGGACTGACACTAGGGCCTGGGAACCGTGCGGGACGAGCCGGTTCCGCGCTGCCGTTCCCCCGGCCCGCTCTGCCCCGGCCCGCCTCCCGCCCCTCCCTCGCAGCCGCTGGGCTG